TGCCAGTGTTGGCGAACCCTTTAAAAATCGGGATCAATCCCTCCCGCAAATCTCGTCGCTCCTCTGGCGTGAAGCCTGTGTCACACTATCAAAATACTCCATCGAAATGTCAAGGTCAAGTGCTGTGATTGGTCCAAGTCATCGAATAAGTCAGTAACAACACCTTACCTTGATATTTTGGTGGAGTATTTTGATAGTGTGACACGGGTTTATCTAAAATTCTATGAGCCTCAGAGAGGATGCACCAAGAGATAAAAATACACTGAAAAACAAAGGACCTTTTTGCCGCCAAGGAGTATTTTTTCTTAAATCAAGAATTTTGCTAATTAATATAAACTACTTTTTTGCTTAAACCAAGCATTATTTTTCTTGTATCAAAGAAAATTCAGCTTAAATCAAGATAGAAACAATTCTTGGCGGCAAATTCAAGAATCATCATATTTTTTTTCTCTTTTTTTTTCAGTGTAAAGTGGCAATTGCCGTGACTCACGATTCATTTGACAACATTTTGTAATATGGCATTATTATTTATTGCTTACTCTAGAAACAACATATGAACCATAAGTCACCCTATGCAGATAGGTGCTTGTATGGATGAGGAAGCTTAGAAATAATGCACGTTATGATTTGAAATTATTTAGACCGCGTTCAGCAGAAAAGAACCAAGTCACATCTGCTATTGCCAAAAATTGAGCAATTTAATTTTTCCAAGAGAACGATTGTACGGATTCATTTGAAGTTTTTGAGGAACTTACTTTGCAGAAAGTTCACTAAAATTTAAACTCAAATCCGTAGAACCGTTTTCATGTTTAAAATTAAAGTGCCCATTTAAATTTGACAATAGCTAATGTGGCTTGGTTCTTTTCTGCTTAACGTGATCCATTTAAACTAACGGAAAATCCATATTTTTGAAACCATACTTGAGTTTTTTCTGCGGTTACACTGATCAGCTAGTTCGAGTTTCCACTTTTGAAGGCATCTGCCTGGCCCCCATCACAATTAATACCTCAAACCGTGCAATTCATTGTAATCCAAATGTTTTTTTTTATCAAAAGCTAAAAAATCATCCAGCCGAAATGGACCACTAGACAAGGTACGAATTTAAGCGATCTGATACATGTTTCTTAACCGGAATTTCAGGTAGAAAACGATTCACACAACGAAAATTACGGAAACCAACTCCTAACGAAGATATTAATGTTTTTATTTCATATTGGTTACGAGGAATTTGAACTGCCCGCTCACAAGAAACTCAAAACTCTACGTGAGTCAAATCGCCCACTACAACGGTTTCAGCGATCTTCTCAATCGAGCAATGTTCGTTTCCCATCATGTGTTGTTCAAACTATTAGCAATTTGCTATAACTGAGCCAAAGCGTCAAGATTGAGGTTGCCAGATTTTTATATCGCAGAGACTGTCATGATAACGTTTAGCGCGCGATGTGAATCACGTAGAGCATTGAGTTTTTATGAGCGGGTGGTTTGAATTCACGCATTAAGAATCATTTAATATCTTCGTAAGGAGTTAATTTCGGTAATATTCGTTGTGTGTATCGTGTTTTACGTAAAATTTTGGTTAAGAAACATGTATCAGAATGCTGAAATTCGTACCTTATCTAGTGGTCCATTCTATATAGCTGAAAAATGGTTTCATTCCTCATCTGGAGTTCTGTGAGAAGACTGCGTGCATCGCACTAGTTGGTGGGGTTGGAACTGTGTTTTTATCTATGGTCTTTTTTCTTAAATTTTTTCTTTCTTTTTTCGAATACTATATAGAGGGGAAGTTTTTGCTTCCCTTTTTTCACCCCCAGCCGGTGTTAGTACCAGTGGCCTTGCGTGATCGGTTTTTGTGGATTTTTTGGTCTCTGCCTCGCTGATTTTGGCCAGAATGTTAGTTTTTCGTGCAAAAAATGTTTTATATATAATAGTTTTTCGATTCATCCATGCGTTTTGCTTCCTCTCGCGGAACCCTCCCCCAATAAGTTTCAAATGATAGATTGGATTTCTTAATGTTTTTCCTCCTTTTTTGTTTCGTTCTGAGAGACAGGTGGCTTATGTACTTTTAAAAAATGCCGGCAAGAAAAGTTACGCTTGCTCAACGCCTATCAATTTCCCCCCTTCTCAACACCCTTGCCAATTCGGTAGTGAAATTGATGGTCTGTAAGCATCAGTCGGCTCTGAAGCTCGTAATCGAGGTGTTGAAGCGACTTGTCGTGACTTTCTGCCGTAATAGCGAAGAGAGCAGTAAATGCAAAAATGAATTTTATAGGATACGGGCTCAGAAGCGTCTGACAGGAAAATTTTACTGAAAGAAGCCTCCGTTCTTTGTCAAATTGCCACTAATCATCCGAAAGACTCCTAAAAATCGTTTTGGTGATTATTACGAAGAAAGGGATTTTTAATTTTCATGTTAGGCTTATGTGTTAGGCAAGACAGCCGTAAGTGCTACCTTCTGCATGCTTTTGTGGTTGCGTTTTGGAAACACAACAAACGCATTTTCAGGTTAGAAATTGGCAGAAGAGGGCAGCACTTTACTTGAAAGCGCTGTTTTCATTGGCTCTCTGGAGGAATAATGTCACTCATGGCTGTTTTGCCCGAAACCGCGTCATGTTTTGCGCACTTAGGGTTTTCTCATATATGTCTCGTGTTCGCACAATTAGGATTAATTTTGCTGTCATAGCTATTTCAGTGATTTCATCTAAAAGTGATGAGACGAATTTTAAAGGAAACTAGATTTCGAAGACACTTACTGCTCTCTTCGCTATCACGGCAGAGTTGTTGATGATCCTGCGCGGTCGCAAGTTAACAACACTGTTTTTCGGGTATTTAAACGTATTGACAAAAATCGATCCAGGTTGAGGCAGCCCTCTTCGTTAAATATCGATTGTTTTCACACGTTTATATGAATGAAATCCAGTGTTTCCAACTTCCAAGTCGGTTGATAATTTTCCCATAGAACGAAAAAAAATTACCAATGGAAATTCGGCAAATTTGTGAAGCAGTTTCCTGCTTGCGACTACAACGCGCTCATTTACAAAAAAGTGCGTACTCCATGCTCGTTCACCTGCTGGAAAAACGGGTTAAAAGTATTTTCATATCTTTGAAAAGCTTTGGCTCCGATCAGTTTTTATTTCTTCTTTTTTCTCTCGATATTTGTAAGTATTTCTTTCTCCCCTTTTTTCTCGAACCTAGGTTCTTTTTGAATCAACTCGTTGAAACAACGGTTGGTGTGTATCTCTTGTCGCTATTGTCATCTACCATAAAGAAATAACTGAACACGCCGTCGTGTTTTTTCGCATCCCGTTCTAAGATACAAATGAATGCGTTCAGCAAATGTTCGCGTGGTCTCAATTCGGGTCTTCAGCTGCTAATGAAGGTTAGAAATAAATGTCTGAAAACGACATCTACTTTGTGTAGAAGATAGCATTTCGCGGATAAGCCCTGATCGCATCGATCTAGTTTGGGGCCCCAAAAAGTGGAGGCGCCTTCAATCCATCGGGTATGCAACACGGACAGCGCCGGAGCTCGAATAGTTGCGTCAAGGCGTTGACATAATTCGCGGCTGTATTACGCTCACTGAACACATAATGCCGTGTTTTTCATTACACAATGATTGTTTTTGTATCTCAGAACATGCTGCCAAAATAAACTTGCCACGAAACACGTGTGACCCAACTTTTGTGTATCAGAGTTCGGGAGGACGTCACATATTTGCTACTTTAAGTTTAAATTTATATAAGGAGGAAAAAATCATCTATTTCGAATGCTGTCTTTAAAACGTACAATTTTTTTTTTTATTTTGTAATTTTCTGATGGCACTTGGACATTTTTGTAGGAGAACTTGAAAGATTCATCAAAAGGCTGGTGATAGTGTGAAAAAAATGTAGAGAAATCAAGCAGGAAAGTGTGAAAAAAATGTAGAGAAATCAAGCAGGAATTCAGAAAAAGAAACCTCGAAAGTCAGGAAGGTTTTTCTTCTTTTTTTTTGTCAGAAAAGTTAATAGATTCTGCTATACTTATTTGAACAAGATGTATTCAAAAGAAGCGCATTAGCCCATTTCAACAAATTAGATATTTTCGTCACATCTCCTGCAATAATTGCTGGATTAATGAACCAATGGCACCCTCGTGTTCAGTTCACTCAGTAGTTTCCACTTCAACATGAAATTCTTCAAATTTCAGCAGTGTCTACAAGTCCGGAAATAGTACTGATTTTTTAAGGGCAGTCCGGAAGTACTGAAAAAGTGCGGAAATTCCGCAAAAAGGTCCGGAATTTTGTTAAATTTTTTGTCATTTTTATCTCAATTTCAAATTTTTGAAATTTTTCTAATTTCGTCAAATGGAGGTACTGAAAAAGTACGGAATTTTTTGTCGGAGGAGGTACTGAATTTCTCGAGAGTGTACTGCAAAAGTACTTATTTTTGACCAGCCTGTTTTAGTAGACACGTGCAAATTCTCCATTTCTCGCCAAGTCCTCAAAAACTGAGTTGATCTTAGGGTTGCAAAAGGTATGGCCAACCCTTTCTAGTGTATTTTCCGAAAAAAATGCACTATTTTTTTTTTTTTTATCATGTACTGTTGTTTGAGTATTTTTGTGGTGTGCCCCTTGCCTGGGCAGACACCTGCAAATCCTCCATTTCTCGCGAAGTCTTCGAAAACTGAGTTGATTTTAGGGTTGCAAAAGGTATGGCCAACCCTTTCTAGTGTATTTTCCGAAAAAAATGCACTATTTTTTTTTTTTTTTTATAATGTACTGTTGTTTGAGTCTTTTTGTGGTGTGCCCCTTGCCTGGGCAGACACCTGCAAATCCTCCATTTCTCGCTAAGTCCTCGAAAACTGAGTTGATTTTAGGGTTGCAGAAGGTATGGCCAACCCTTTTTAGTGTATTTTCCGAAAAAATGCACTATTTTTTTTTTTTATTATCATGTACTGTTGTTTGAGTCTTTTTGTGGTGTGCCCCTTGGCTGGGCGAGTCCTAATGCGGGCCTGTTGCTTTGCAGACGTCGCAGCAAAACAACCAACACCTGCGAATCAACCCGAGTCTGGGCTCCTTCCACGGCGGCTCGCTGCCCAACGTCAACCACGTCGCCCACAAGAAAACCTCCTCCACCGTCGACCTCAAGGTACGAGCCCCGCACCTAGTCGCACGCCACTGCATCCCAGTTGGTGTTGTACCTTCCGGCTCCCCCCAACAACACCCGCACCCGCACGACTGTGTTCCTTCTCCTCCTGCACTCGTATACCTTTCCTATCCCCATTGGCAGACCCAGCAAATGGAGATGTTGCATGTCGACGGTGAAACTACCAAACCACGTATCTCGGTTTGCGACGTCGCAGACTTCCTGTCATACTTTATTTTTTAAATGAAAAACTAATTAACGTCCAGTCTTGAAAATTTCTGTGATTTTTCCTCTTCGCACGGAGAAAATTCTGTGAAAATTTCAAGGAATGATACTGATTTGGTCTACTTCAAAAAAATAAAATGTGAGCGTAGATTTTTAAACACCGCAAACGAGATACGTGGTTTGGTAGTTTCACCGTCGATATGTAGAGGATTTGCGATTTGACCATTGATTCTTATGTAAAAGTTCGCGAGAGACACGATGGTGCCACTGGTTTTCTCTGAAATCATCTCCCAAGCTCAAAAAAAGCTCTCAAGTTGAGGCCAAAATGGAGGGGATATCCCACGCTATCCTGGGAGTTCACCTCTACATCAAGACAAACGCTCCATGCAAAGATAGGGAGCAAATACATTAGAAGGGATGCCGTGTTTTCAGTTTCGGAGTCCTCAAATAAAGTTGCAACCCTGCTAATGTATTTGCTCCCTATCTATATATGGAGAGTTTGTTTTGATGTAGAGGTGGACTCTCAGGGTAGGGTGGGATATCCCCTCCATTTTGGCCTCACTTTGAGAGCTTTTTTTTTGAGCTTGGGAGGTGATTTCAGAGAAAACCAGTGGCACCATCGCGTTTCTCGCGAACTTTTACACAAGAATCAACAGTCAAATCGCAAATTCCTCACACATGCAATATCTCCGTTGGCAAGATTGTCTTTTCTCCATTTAAACGTATGGAAATGTATCGATTCTTGGAGGGGCCCGGTGCCGTCACAAGAATCGATTATTTAACATAGGTTTAAACCAGAGACAAACAGGTTTAAACGGAGGGAATTCGGTGTTGCCAAATTGCTGGATCTGCCCATCCCCTTTGTAACTTTCCACCTTCTCTCGTGATTTAGTGTGACAAGCTCTGTAAAAGCATAATGTTAAGGATCCAAAAGAAGTCGAGAAAAAGTAGTGAGATTTTTAGTCCTTAAAATGATCCCTTGTAGTTGTGATTTTTCTCTTCATGCATTTTGAGATCATTGAGATTGTCAATACTCTCAAAGTATGAGAATTGAGATTTTCAGCTTTTTCAACGCACGTTGGCAAGAAACTCCAACATACTGTCCTACGACGCGTGCGTCCAGCGCAATCAGTTCGTAATGTTTTTTCCAAAAAAAAATCAATCATACATTTTAATGAGAAAAAACTCGTTGAACATTTTTTAACGTTGCTTTTTGCGCATTATCCATTCACTCAAAAATCCCGCCATGCACGTCTACAATGAGTTTCTGCGCGCGATCGTTAAATATTTTGTAATAAAACCATTTTCATGATTACATGCTCAATATTCTAAAAGTCAGGAACAAGCCGATGCTCAAAATCCTTGAAAATGTAAAATATTTCGAAACATGAGAAAACTTGTCACATTTTCATACTTATCTCAACACATTAATGAAGACTGTATTTGACCACGTTTCGTAGTCCATTTCTTAACGTTGCACTTTTCTTTTTCATTTCATTATTATTGATGTCGTTGTCGATGTTTTTATTTCCACCTGAACCTGCACTATTCTCCCAAAGTAACCACTCACACACGTAACACCATTGTCATAACCACTTAAACACTGTCCTGATACCCTCATTTTCGTTTTTTCACTATTTTTGAAGTCGTTCTCAAAGTTTCGCCTGAATTTGCACTCTGCTCGTAACATAACACCGTATGCGTCTAACACTATTGTAATAACCACTTAATTTTAACACTCACTGAAAAGAAAGAAGGAGATCAGTGTCTCCTTCTTTCTTTTTAGTGAGTGTATTTTCCGAATAAAGCACACTATTGCTTTCTTCCCGGCCCCTGATGTTGGACCTGGGATCAAAGACCATTGATTTAAATAAAAAAAATCCCGTCATCAAGAGTGCAGTGAAAATGAGTGCACCCGACCTGACTATTAACTTAACCTGACTATCGGCTTGACCTGACCATCATTGACCTGTCCTGACTATTGACCGGATCTGACTATTGACCTGACCTGCACCTGTAGCAACCCTGTTTTTTGTTACTTCATCCCTCGTTTTTTGTTGCGTAGTTGGTGTTGTTCTTTCACCGTGTTGCACTCTTAAAAACTTTACATTTCCTGTGGTCTTATCATAATTGCATCAATTAATTCTTCCATCTAGCGTTGACTCCGCCTACCGGTTATTTTGATTCGTCGTCAATTGAGTCCTCCAGTTATATGTAAAAAGTCCCTGCAGTGGAACAAAAACATTTTAATCGACAAGTTTGGTTCGCGAGCCTGTCGTTAAAGTTTTGAAAAACTAACTACATGAGTTTTATTCTTGTCGATAGAGTGAAAACCAATCTTCTAAATGTTCTACCAAGCGTTCGATTTGTTTCTGCTAAAATCGTGATAATTCAAATAATACCTATTGAAAATAAGATAATCACTTAAAATGGGTGAATATGTTTTAGTTGTATGTATTCGCAGGGAAAATGCAACTGCTCAGGAATGGAAATAATGTAACATCTAATTACTGTAGTATTGAATATTTTGTTTATCAGTGAGACGAAAAAGTTTAAAATTACCCGAGCGTGCGATAAGTATTTGATGAACCTACAAATGAGAATAAATCATTTTAAATCAATAGGGAAGAGAAAAATTAGTCTCGAATGTTTCATGGTTGCTGTACATTTTACCGTGTCCGAATACAACGAGAAAATGATGACAATACCAATAATTATCCGGTGTATTGGGCCTTCTGATCACGTGATGATTTGGTTTCTCTGAAGCTCGTTTCTAACTAAATGTTCTACCAAGCTTTCGATGTGTTTCTGCTAAAATTGTGATAATTCAAATAATACCTATCGGAAATAAGATAGTCACTTAAAATGGGTGAATATGTTTTAATTTTATTTACTCGCAGGGAAAATGCAACTGCTCAGGAATGGAAATAATGTAACATCTTACTTGTTTCAAGAGATCATTTGAAAAAAATGTATTATTTCATGGTTGCTGTATATTTTACCGTGTCCGAATACAACGAGAAAATGATGACAATACCAATAATAATTATCCGGTGTATTGGGCCTTCTGATCACGTGATGATTTGGTTTCTCTGAAGCTCGTTTCTGACTAAATGTTCTACCAAGCGTTCGATTGGTTTCTGCTAAAATTGTTATAATTCAAATAATACCTATTGAAAATAAGATAACCACTTAAAATGGGTGAATATGTTTTAATTTTATTTATTCGCAGGGAAAACGCAACTGCTCAGGAATGGAAATAATGTAACATCTTATTTGTTTCAAGAGATCATTTGAGAACATTTTCGAATTACTCATTCCAATATGTGCGTATTTTGAGTTCGAAGATCGTCTTATTATTACAATAGCACATTTGAACATGATTGAAATAGGTTTCCTTCTTCCTCGTCTCCTTTTTCTACAACGAACGACTAGGGCCTTTTAGGGCTCTAGGACTAAAGAAAGACTAGGACTTCTCTTTCTCTTTCTTCTCATACTTAAAAAAAAAAGTTACGGGCTACTTAGACATACCGTCAATTCCGGGCTCAGAGGCCGAAAGTTCCGGGTGCTGGAGCCGTAGCTTCGATTGCTCCGGGTGTAACGCCCGGAACTTTTTGCCTCTGAGCCCGAAACGCGGACAGTATGTCTATAGAGGGTGATCCAGACCACCCGTCCACTATCTTTTTCTCGAAAAAGGAGGAGAATCGAGTTTCGGGACAAAAACTTTCATGGGTAAATCGACCCCAAGGAATAGAATGAAAATATTCCCCGTTTCTCGCGATTTTCAAATAGGAAGGGTATGTTATGACTCTGGATTCGGAATTTAAAGTCATTTTGGGGGTATGAAAATATTTTCATTCGATTCCTTAGGGTCGATTTACCCATGAAATTTTTTGTCCCGAAGCTCAATTCTCCCTAGTTTTCGAGAAAAAGGTAGTGGACGGGTGGTCTGGATCACCCTGTATAGCTCGTAAGTATAATTTCCACGGCCAAAGTTTTTTTTTTTTTTTTTTTTTTTTTTTTTTTTAGTGTTCAGACGTAAGTGAATAAATCAAAGGACGTAGGTAGAGCGAGACAAATGATATTCAAACCTGGCGCTATCCCGTAAATAAATAACACTACTACCCAGCACCCCGTCCCGCCCTTCCCCTCTCGCAGGAGAAACTCGGGGGGCACCCCGATTAAAACGGGGCGTATTCGGATGCGCGAGATCGGGGGAGGGGGGGGGTCGAAAACTCTCGCCCCCAGTTGAGTTCCTTGGCCGTTAATTCGTTGGCCGGGAGAAAAATATGGGTCAGAGTTTGTTTACTTTTCCGCCGAGTCATTGACCTCGTTCTCGGCGCGAATGCGGCGGAGAGAGGATTTCCGCTCATCCCCCGTCGCGTCGTGCACCCCCCCCCCCCCCCCCCCCCCC